ATACAAAAAGATGCTGTCTTCTATGATTACCTCAACAAGTTCGTCGTTGTTTTTGTTGTTTGTAGAAGAGTGACGGAGTCGGAAGTTTTCTAGCCGACTCCGTACTAAATGTTAAGAATGTGAAGGTTTTTATGCTCGTGTTTTTAGCTTTAATACTGATGAATAGGTGCGCTAACTCTTTTTATTATGCGCAGTTAAGTGTTAACTGTCTTGCAACTTTAGTCATCTATGATTGTTATAATTTGTCAGTAATTATTTATACCGTTATTACAGTTTCTGATAATGCATATCTTGTTGGAATGAACGCATTTTCGTATTCGCATATGCTGATTATGTATTTATATTTGCTGCTGCTGCTGAAAAACAGGTATGCTTACTGTGAGAAGTGCTTCAATGACTTGCCCTCTCCTGTCATCGACATTGATGAACCAACTCAACCTGGACTGTATGTTGTTGTTGTACCGTTTGTTGTTGGGCTGTTTGTTGTTGACTTGCTGTTGTACTGGTGTTGTTATTTTTGTTGCTGCTATGGTATTGTTGTTGTTGTAACTTTGTTTTTTTTTAAGTTTTTAAAATTTCGAAATTTACAGGAAAGTAAACAAATCAGAATTCACCAGGGAGAGGAATGACAAATTGGAAGGAGAGGCGTTAGTTTTCATTAGAAAGATTATTATTCATTCAACTCATATATCAGTTTAAACTATCTATGATTGATTAATCCACCAGCCAAATTTCATTTTTCAAGTTGATCATCATCTACCCATTTGCCTATCAGGTTTGTAACTTGTACTGTCTGCGACCGCAAGATGCATCAGATATGTGTGTCGCACTTTGAGCCCGTCACCACTAAAATGTTTGTCTGCAAAAATTGTCAGGCGAGTACAGGGATGGGCACTGATTTTGGCATTGGAGATAGGAAGAAGACTAACAAATTCACAGCCAAGAGTAAACTTAGTTTATTACGAATGTTTATCTTTAATTACTTTAGTTTCATCGCATTTTTCAGGGTGGTTAAGGCTATTCATGAGAGGAGCGCCGTAGAAATATTTTTCCCTTATTCCGTTTTGATTGAAATTTACTTTATTGTTATTGCGTTAAAAATTAAATCAATTGTCTTAAAGGTTCGCAATTTTACGAAAAAAACTGTTACATGAATGATTTGGATTAATATTTATATAGTTTGTATGAATGAAGCAATTTTTAACATTTGAAGCCTTCGGTTGCTCGGTTTGGTTATTCGCCCGTTAACTCGTGTTACAACCACATAATAAATCATTGATTATTTCGCGCGATCTATCGAAAAATATCCAACTTCATAGTAACTGTAGCTATTTCATTTTAGTTTAAATTTAACGTCGATATTAATACTGAAAAGTAGGTAGCACCACTACTGCCACTGCTCTTTTACAGCCTTGCATTTTTTATATGCATTTTTTTAATCAGAGTTGCCTAACACCAAACTGGGGACTTATTTGGAGAACAGAGTGAATCAGTTTCTTAAGAAAAAAGATTCTGCAAGTGTCGAGGTGAGTTATACATTTATGTATCGATTGTTTGATTGAATAAATAAATGAATGATTGGATGACTGATTGATTAATTGATTTTTTATTCTTTTTTTGAAAAGGTCTCCATAAGAGTTCTATCGAGTTTTGACAAATTTGCTGAGATAAAGCAGGGAATGAAAGATCGTTTCAGCGACTGCCTGGTGGATCCGCCACAGTATCCTTACAGAGTCAAGGCTATTTTCGCATTTGCTGAGATCGATTCGGTCGACGTTTGTTTCTTCGGGATGCATGTTCAGGAGTATGGATCTGAGTGCCCGGATCCTAATTCTAGGTTGCGATGTTGACTGTGATGATGGTGCTGAACATGTTGTGTGTGTGTGCAAAGGTGTGTGTATTAATGAAGTTGTTGAGGAGACGAATACAACACAGTTACATTACTTATCACACCTGGCAGGAGAGTTTACATAGCATATTTGGATAGTGTAAACTTCTTCCAGCCACGACAGTATAGAACCTCAGTTTACCATGAAATACTGCTTGGATATCTTGAATACGCCAAATCCCTTGGGTACTTTTATTTTTTTTTACATATACATTATCATACATATGTACATACCTGCAATACGCCACCGTAACTAACTAACAGGTTCCTAACTGCTCATATCTGGGCCTGTCCGCCAAGTGAGGGTGATGATTATATTTTTCATTGCCACCCGCCGGAACAAAAGATACCGAAACCGAAAAGACTACAGGAGTGGTACAGGAAAATGTTAGATAAAGCAGTTGAGGAGAGAGTTATTGTTGAGTATAAGGTATGTTGGCTTTAATGAAATGTTTTGTATGTGGCTTTTTGATTGGTTCGTTGATTGCAGGGTTAGGGCTACAATACTCAAAAATTGTGTCACCGATGCCAACGTGTGTTCAGTTATATAAGATGATGACTTCGGTTGATTCAAGATATTATTTAGCAAAAACATTGGGATTTCGATTACCAAATTATACATTTATAAATCTATTAACATATTCAGGACATAATACAAGATGCGCAAGATGGTCAGATGCAATGTCTTGCCGGTTTTCCTTACTTCGAAGGGGACTACCTGCCCATGACCATCGAAGAAGTTATAAAGAACGACTACAGCAGCAACAGCAGCAGCTACAACAATAATAATAATATGTGTTATTATAATAATTCGTTGGGCAGTGTGGGCAATGATGACGGTTGTGGTGAGGCTGATGATGGCACGTGCGACGATCCAGCCGTCAATAACGATGACCTTAAACAGGTTAACTTTAAAATTTGGTTAACTCTCGAATTGTATTTTCTGGTTTTACATAGTCATATTGTCAGTTCAAGTTTTTTTGAAAATGAATAAAGTTTAATTAACTAAGTTTAATAACAGAAAACTACTTAATGCACACACGTTTTACCGATTACTTAATTTTTCATTTTTTAGCAAAAGAATCAACTCAATGAGACTAGAAAGTTTCTAAAGTGTAATGACAACAACAGTAGCAGCAGCAACGCTAATAATTATAATAATCATTCTCATAATAACAAGAAGGGTAAAAAGAAAAATGTGAAGAATAAGAAGCAGTCCAAGTCAAGAAGCAAGTCTGCTTTCTCGCAGCTGGCCGCCGATGATCTCTTCAATAAGGTCATGGCTTCTGTTGAGAAAAATAAAGAGGTTTTCTTTGTCATCCACCTGCAACAAAACGTCTATAAGTACTACACTCACAACGACAATTGCCACGGACATCACCTGTCGTCTCCATCTTCTCCATTTAACTCATCACTAAATCCGCCTATCTCTTCTCTCCCACCAATCATGGACCCAGACCCAGTCAGCAACATCGATCTGATGGATGGTAGAGATGCCTTCTTGACTCTCTGCCGAGAGAAACATCTGGAGTTCTCGTCTCTGAGGAGAGCAAAGTTCTCGACGATGGTGATGCTGTACGAGTTGCACGTTCAGATGAGAGATGATGGCCTTGTATGCTCCGTCTGCTGTGAATGCAAGGCTACTGTTGAGACTTATTATCATTGCCCTGTTTGTGAGGTCGGTTGTTGGTTGTTGTTGATATCTCTCTTGTTCAGGCATTGCTGCTATTAATTTTTGTTGATCTTGCTTTTCTTCATTTTCTTATTGCTTGTTGCAGTGATTATTTGTTATAATTTAAATACGAAATTAAATTCAGGATTATGATCAATGCATCCATTGCCACATGAAATTCAAACACGTCCATCACAATGAAATGAAGAAAGTTGGCCTCGGTCTAGATGACTCAGCAACGGCTGCAGCAA